GTGGGTGGACGTATGGTGCCCGAATAGGCAGGAACTTAATCAAAGTAAATTCAAAAGACTAAACTTTATTTCCTTGGACTTCAGAGTCGTATGGAGTACGTATGTTGTAGAATGGTAGGTGACCACCGAGGTATCAATATGTTCAAGTTAATGAAACCGACTATTAAGGACTATCAGACAATTCCGTCGACTATGCGCGGGTGTATGGCTTCATTTGGATATATGGCCCATGAGTTTAGCGCAGGGATATTTCTCGGGTGTTTCACAGCTCTAGTGGAGCGAACGGAGCGCAGATCGCGGATATATTCAGATACATACGGAGTAATGTAGTAGAGACATAGGCTCATCGGCTGTCAAGGTGGTCTGGATCTACCGATGCGATGCGCTCAGAACGGATATGACAAGAAGAAGGGGGGGGGGGGTATAAACAAGAGCACAATTTGGATCTACGATGATGACCAAGGTGGTCCGGTATCACCTCCCTAAAATATCCATCAAGCGCATGGACACAGCTCCATTACTCCATTATTACTCCATTATTGCTCCATGTTCCCCATTTTTCCTTTTTCAAGGCAACCATATAGAACCCACGACATGGTCAGTTCGCAGGCCTGGAGCTAGAATCAGAGAGAAGTGTAACCCGATGCTAGGGGCCCCACGGCCGATCCCACACGGGGGTTATACCGAGGCGGGAAACTGTACGCACGGTAAGCTCTCTAATTTTTTGGTGATCGCCCTTGACGAACAGGTCGTTGTTTCACACACTTAAGACATGCCGGCTTCCAACCGTCTCTCGCCTAACACCCTTTCCGGATATATTCCGTACACCTATCTGGGACTAGTACGCTTCGGTAGGATTGTACCGTAACCCTGATTCCTTATGGGGTATTTTCTTTCGGGCTCGACTCCGTAGAAGGAGCCCCCTTTTTGCTAGATCTGCCTCTTTTGAGACGGTCAAACATGTACTCCGTATATTGTAGGTGATCGCTGTCGATCATCCCCCGTTTGGCATCCAGTTATACATAACAGATAATTAAGGGTCTTTGTTTTTACTTTTTTGGCGCTGATATTCTATTATTACTTTCCCCCTGATTTTGAGTGTTCGGGTTCGGATGCGGCTGGTCATACGGCAGATACGCTTATGACAATCTACGGTGTAGAAATGAACCTTTCCCATTTTTTGGGGGCGGGAAAAGGATCATAGACTGTCCAGATATTGGATCCTGAAGGAGTAATCTGTTTTAATCAAATGAAAAAAAAAGTTCCCACCGCAGCAATATCACTCCGTGTGGCCATTAACCGGGCCAAACAAGCAAGTTCATAACGAGTTGACTAGGACATCATCAGATCAGATCAGTTCGGGAGGTATCTAATCTGAATCTAGATCCCAACCAATAACCAATATTCCGATAAGGTGCATTCCAGTACTCCGTATGCAGTAGGTTATATAAACCAGGGGCCAAATACGAGTCAACGCCTAACAATATCGACATTACGTGGAGGGCCGCATCGGAGACACTCCCTAAACAGTCATCGCTTAGTGATGGCGGGCGATCATGGGATGAGTCAGCAGGAGCTATGGCCATCGGTTACCTATGGATGTACTTTGTATGCATTGTGTCCCCCTGAAGTTGGATCTTCGTTGATCCACCAATCATTACCGAATAGGAAGGAGGTAATTTGACAGAATTGTTCATACAACATATATTGTAGGTATTGGGCTCCGCAGACTTCTATACAGGCAGTTATGACGGATGAATCTTGAAATTATCCATTTAGCAACAAGGATGGAATTGAAAGGAGTCATTTCGACATGGCCATATTAGTGGGAATCTAATTATCAATAATTCAATACCTGCATGAATAGCATGTAATATGTACACTACTGCACAGTCTTCGTCGCGGGAAGATCCCATGCGGATATCCTAGTGATCGGACGTAGACAGGTGCATCGGGTCAAGTGCCAGATTAGGGCTTGCTGCCACGTGAAATGGAGAAATTAATTAAAAAAAGGTGCATATTGTGTGCGTGGCACTTGCAGTACCAGGCGCGTCCACCGTCCAATAGAAGCACCTTCCCAAGTAGTACAAGCGTAAGATCGGATCTACCAATCCCCGATCGGCGTGTAACAAGCTTGGCGGTTTAAAATTTATAGTGGCCTCGGTATCCATGCGGATTTAGGTAATTTAAAATTTCACGGGTTACAACCTTGGAATAGGTTTAGGTACGTTCGAGAGAAAACCACTTTAAACTTTGGTGATTCCCTCAAGGTTAACGCTTGGGGATTTAATTTTAATTATAGTTTGGGATTTCCCTTCATGAAACACCATACGATGTGATATGTGATACAGCAGACACAATGCGCATGGATATATATGCAAGTGCCATGTGTCAACCATTCCGCAAGGCAACCAGTATTCTGCAGTGAACATGGCATTGAACGTGTATATTATAGAGGGTAATCCGTATACTGTATACAATACATCACATCTGCGAGGATCCGTGTTCCTCGCGTGGCTGGACATGTTCAGCCCCACTGATTTGCGACCATTAACTCGACCTGGACAAGCCTGTGTGTTCGGGAGGAAAGGGGTGAGACAGTCGCGTGGCATGGGCCCAGTGCCCCGGGATCAAGAAACGATCAGCGATCACGGCTGAATCCGCTACGTACCCGGATCTATGACCTAAAGAGGATAGCTCGATCACCTTCAAGATGATGTTCCTCGGTCAGATTGACCATCTGGGCAGACTATTGATTGTTGACTGGAAAAATAGAATGTGGACGTGGCTTGGGGATAATTATAGTGAAATGGAAGGGGGAAAAATAACTCTTGGTTTGGCATTTGAATTAAAAAAAAAAAAAAAAAACTCTACGTAAACGTAAAGCGTAAAATTGCTCCCATGGGACGAGATTCCAGCGGATCACACTTCTCCCGGTTTCGTGGCAGGGAAAAAAAAGGAAAAAAGCAAAAATAGGCTTCTGGGCGTGAAGCTTCTCAGAATGAAGATCTTTAAAAGTGTATTTTCTATTTGACACCCGTGGACTGCTCATGACCATGACCTAAATGACTTTCTGAGGGTGAGCTGAAAATGAAATGTCAAATATACATTTACCCTGGGCCGAACCAAGGGAGGCCCAATCATTGACCGCGGAACACAAAGACCGGGACCAGTCTCAGTTGAGGATAGGCGATCCGAACCAAGTGCCGACAAGGGGGGGATCATCCGTAGGCCCGGGACGATCCTGACGCTCGAGCCATTCTTGAATAGTAATCAATAAATCGAGAGCTATATTGTTGTATAAGGGTTTTGTCGGGTGAGATAAGGAGTATAAAAGTGAATTATGAATCAAAATGAAACATATGGATCCATACTCGATATATCTATCTAATTGCCGTCTACTTGATTGTGTGCAGTCCGTTCTCTGATATTATCTCCGTCACCGGCGATCTCTCGTAAAGGGCTAAATAGTGGAGCTCGCTTCCACGAGGCCGGACAAATCCACCCCTAACGGCCAATCCCTAGTCGCGCCTGTGCAGAAATCGTGCACGGCCGGAGATGGTAGGAGGTAAAATGGCAATAGGAGTAATGTTCCAGAACGCCGATCGTGTCAATATGTAACTCATTTTTCGCTGGTAGCCACAGTTCAGTTCCACGGTTTCGAGGAATGATCTTCAGGAGCGAGGTCTTAGATTGACTCTAGGCCTTGTCGCCCTCTCAACTTCGTACCAGTATGGGTTTTCAAATGCCGGAACAATCTTTCCTTTCCTCCATTGCCAACCCAGATCCGCGATTAGACAGCGACTAGAGAGAGTACGTCGTGGATTAACTGGATATTGTATACGTATCATGCACTGGAGTGGGAGGCAAAACAAGTTTTTTTTCTTTTCTTTCATGTATGGTATACCTACATACATCCATGTACTCCGCTCACTGTGTTTGTAAGGTTTGTGTAAGCGAGTCTAGGGCCATGGGTCAATAACAGGTTCAGGCATTCCTATGGTTTCGCCCCCAGCGCTTAAAGCCGCCCGTGGTGACAACCCGGCATCAATTGCAGCGGTGATGGTAATTAATAGATTAAATTTAATTTCACAGTACATAATAAACTCATAAAACCTTGGAACGCATGAAATGGAGCACCCTGACCAGCGTATAAGCAGCGCAGGTGTAAATACGATTCCAAGGTTCCGGAGTTGAGACCCAAAGCGGACTAGCGTCATCCCTTTGTGACCTTCCCTTTTCGCTTGCGCCGTTTTACTCCATAGCCACGCGACAAATGATCTCCTGAACCGTCCACGGTCTCATCCCCCGGGTTTTACACCTATATTATTGTATCACTATTATCGTTCAAAGTGAGACACAACTGGAATGATTGTATCAATATCTACTCCCCATACAACCGTTCATCTCATCACTTTCGTAGATCAACAGATCCCTGATCGATCAGCCGTTTATGGGGTGGCTTACGATATGTGACAGGTCGAGCAGGATCTGCACTAACCGTAGCCGAGGTGCAATCGTCCAACGGGGTCTTTACGGCCTCCCAATTTGGGTTTAGGGTACTGCACATCCCACAAGGCTGGAAGGTTGGGGCTTCTCTCTTCGCGTGGGTGAATCGTCATTCCCCCCCACGTTAATCTCCGAAAAGAATTATTTATTATTTATTTTGCTTAGATTAATTTTAAATTGAATTTTATTAAACCTAAATTAGGAAAAATCAATTAAATTAAGCTTTGGAGCAAACTGCGTCTCATTAAAAAAAATAATTAAATTTAAAATAAATAAAATAAAATGAATTAAAAAAAGAAATTAAATTAAAAAAAAAGAAAATGTTTGTAACGAAAATCGTAATTTTGCCTAGGTCGGCATCCTCCGCTGGCGATCATCCAAAGCCGCCCGCCTGCTTTCTAGGTATAAACCTCGTGGCATCCCCCACTCGCTGAACAAAGCCGAACTCGAAACGCACCTGGATCAAACCTCTCCAACACATCTTCTTCATTATGGATCTCGCGAATCTCCTCTCTCACAGCACGGCTGCCAAGCCGGTATATACTCCTCTTGAGTCCAGCTACTATAAGCGCTCGCCGCCTCTGTCGCCGCCAGCCGAAGAGCCTAAGGTCTCACTGCCCTCAATCTCATCTCTCTTTGAGGGTGCCGATGGTGCTCAGCACGCAGCTAGTGAGTACTTCCAACCATACTTCAATCCCAAAACATCCTCGCTAACCATATACCTCCTAGAGCGTCAACGTCTCTCACCATCTCTCGGTGAACGTCACGTTCGGGTCCAGTCCTACGAGCTGCCCCCAACACCACCTCTGCGCCCCGGCTCCGGCCACGCCCATCGCCGCGCATCTCCCGTGGAGTCGCTCTCTCACAAGGAAGCGCACCATCACCATCACCTACACCGTTCCTCTATCTCCAGCAACGGCTCAGTCCACATCCCCCGCAACACAGCACCATACGCCTCGCCTGCGCCCAGTGTTTCATCTTACACATCTCCCATTGACGCTCCCCAACAGCCAATGTACTACCCACGCCCACCAACCACATCTTCTTTCCAGCCCTCGACACCAGCATCAGCTCCCCAGATGCCTACTGTCCAGGCCCAGACGCAACAGCCGCACTCGCACTCCCACTCTCACTCGTCTTCGGCTCTCATCTCTCCCGTCACCCCGGCATGGCAACACCACCACTACTTCCCGCCTTCTTCCTCAGCCCCGTACCAGCAGAACCACGACCGCTATATCTGCCGTACCTGCCACAAGGCTTTCTCGCGCCCGTCTTCCCTGCGCATCCACTCCCACTCCCACACTGGCGAGAAGCCCTTCCGCTGTACGCATGCTGGCTGTGGTAAGGCTTTCTCTGTCCGCAGCAATATGAAGCGCCATGAGCGTGGCTGCCACTCTGGTCGCCCGGGCCCTGCCCCTGCTGCTACTGCACTTGTTGTATAAGCCGTTGTGGACTTGTTGTCTCGGTATTATTCTGATTCTTGTCGTATTGTTTTTCTAAAGGGTGTTTTTTCTTTTGTCAGGTGGGGATTTCTTATGTTTGGCGTTGTGTGTGATGCCGTGATACCCTGGATCTTGGTTTTGATTCTTTCCAACGGATTCCCATTTGGTTTAGATGGGTCGGTTCTATACATTATATAAAATAACGATTCTCAATGTACATTCTATGATGAAGACTATTTCTCTCTGTTCGATTATCCTATAGCCGTTTTCGTAGTTCTCATAGCCTTGTACTTTCTTAAACACAAACCGGTGCCCACGGCGAGCCATCGAGTGCTTCTCGTTCGGACTGCTTAAATCATGGAAGGGGCCCAGGACATAAACTTTTTCACGGTCATTCTTGTCTATCTGTGCCCTACATGTATGTATCATCACATCATTACCATCATAACCTTGGAAGTAATTCCAAAAAACTCAAGAAAAAGGAGGAAATGTATCTGTCCAACATACAATCCGCAAGTAAACACCGACCTAAATGAAAATAGAGCATAAACTCATAAATACCCAAATCCTTCCAAGGTCTACTCATCCAAAACCCCCCTCACCAATGCAGCAAGACTAGTCTCATACCGCGCAGGATTATGATCACTCAACATGCCACCAGCAAAGCGCAACTCACCAAACCAAGCATCAACATCCCGAATGAACCGTATCTGCACGCGAGTCGCAGGTCTCCCAAGACGCGGATACCCATCGACCCCGAGCTCCGGCCCCGTGAACGCATCCCGCTGCAGAACCCGCATCGTCTCGACGACAAAAACCTCACCGGGCGGCATAAGTTTTGGTGCACGCATCTCATCCCGCAGCAGTTTCAGCGTCTTCCAGGCCCAGGCGTCTTCGCCTACGCCGTCGCCCGCATTCACGACCAGCGGAGGCTGGTTGACGTAGAATTTATGGATGATGCTTTGGCGGAGGGAATCGCTGACCCGTTGGCGGATGTGCGCTTTGGCACCCGTGGTGTCATCTTTGAAGGATAGTGACGCTGTGTGCATGTCATGCAGGATGCCTAGCGACAAGCTGGGGACTATGTCGGAGCCATTGACGATTGTTGTTATTAGGCCCCGCGTTGCGAGGCGGAGGAAGGGGGACATCACGGCTGGCGGACCGTAGGCATAGACATGGATTGGGCGGTTCGCTGGGAGGGTGTAGGTTGGTGGGCTGGGGTCCGGGGCATTGATATTGGAGGTTCTATCTGCAGTCAAGAGGCGGGGACGGGTGGCAGGTTGGTATGAGGCTGTGATGAAGGATGTGCCTGTTGTGGAGGCGTTGGGTTCTGAGATCATCGTTGCGAGAAGGGCTGCGACGCCTCCGCCGAGCGAATGCCCGCATAGGACTATGCCGTAGTCTTGGAATTCTTCTAGTGCCGCGCGCAGTGTGATCATAACTCGGCCGCCGCCGCCCTCTAGGAGCCGCTTGGCTGAGGCGTGCATGCCTTTGTGCACTTTCCAGCTTTTGCCTTGCCATTCGAGGTCGTCGTAATCACAAGTCATGTCTGTGAGGATGTCCTCAAAGCCCCAAGTTCCTCGCAGAGTCAGAACCACGGCTTTGGAGTCATGGTCGATGGAAAGATAGTGGACCAGTGGGAAACCCGTCTCTGTCTCACCAGCTGCGTTCGAGCCACCAGCTGGATCAACGAATGACGATAGGAGGATCGTGGACGGTGGCAGACCTGTGTTCTCTGAGAACGCACTGTGCTCGTGGCCGTCTGACTTCATACTAGGTATATTCTTCGGGCCACTAGGAACACCCATGACTGTGAGCGCATTCGAGCCATATGAGGCAGAGGAGAACCGGCAGAACCGACGAATATTTTGCACGAAGTGTCTTTCTGGAAAGATACCGGGAACAAAGCCATCGCGATTGAGCGCCTGGATGGTTTCCATATCTTCATACGCACTTTTGCGAGGCCGATGCGCAAGCAGCAGCGACGTCTCAGACCCTGCAGTTGCTAGGGAATACAGGCTGGGTGTGTATGACTGGGATCTGCGATGCATAGCTGGCGAGCTGGGGCGGTTATCATTTGCAGACAAAGTCCCGTCTGCTTCCGATCTCGTTATAGACATGGAGCTGCTGCTGCGAACATGAGTCTGGACTGTGGCAGGCGATCCGGGACGGGTACCAGCACCATGGCGTGAGAGGAATGTGTCGGTTTGAGTGAGGAGTGACTCTTGGCTTTCCTCACGCACCGCATAATGCCCCCCTCGTGAGCCCCTAGAAACATGTCTTTCATGAGATGGGGCATTTTTCGTTTGCGATTGTGGTGAGTGTCTTTGGGGGGAGTTTGGGAAGGGCGACCTGCGTAAACCCCGGTTGGGAACAGGGGTTGTCGGTCGATAGTTCACAGGTTCAGTTTGTCTCTTCTTCAGAGCAGGTCTGCTGGAGATCTCTCGTGCAGTCGCTTCCTTCACAGACGCTGTTCCTTTTGTAGGCCTGGGAGGTAGACGAGGACTCGTCATCCCCGAGGGTCCGGATGAGGCTATAGGTTGCTTCTTTCCCGGTGGCCGCTTGGCCTCATTCCTTTCCAGAACAGCTGGCTTAACCTTTTGTGCGAGTTTTGCGAATGAGCCTTTGCTAGGTGCAGACTTGGGAGGTTCATTCTGCAGGTTGGGAGTTGTTCCACGGCGCTTGGGAGGGCTGCCCTGTGTAGTATCAGGATGTGGATGCGACTGATCATGGTGGGACTTCACCGGACTATTGAACAACAGATTGCCCGGCAAGTCCCGTTTATGATGATCATGCTCAGGTAGAGCAAGGTTTCCAGAGCTGTCATACGGTCGCAGCTGAGTGCTCTGTGATTTGTTGAAGGCTGTCCTGAACACCACCGTATGCTTGGGAAACCGTCGCTGGCCATCGGTCGTATTAGTTTCTCCACAATCATGATCATGGTGGAATCTCTCTTCTATCATTTTCGTTCCAGGCGGGGCGGCGATCTCTGCTATATCGTCATCGTAGACATCGACTGTGATCGTTCGTGCCGTCAGGACTTCCGATCTGATAGATGCGTGGCAGCCCTGAGGAAGCTGGCTCATGATATAAGCGCGAATATCCTCATCGGACACTTGCTGCTGACCATCCAACGGAATAGAGAGACGATGCCCAAACGGATCAGATATGCTCGACCGTTTAACTACATCAAAGGCTTCCTCGGAATTTCCAGGCATCACAAAGGAAGCACTGCCAGGCTTCACAGGCTCTTCATTATTGCGATCGGGGAATTGCAGTTGATGGGACCCGATCACGTCTGCTCTTGCACCGTTGTCCAGGATGACAACATCCCAAACAATCTCATCCGCGCCATTCTGCCGTAGATGTCTTTCGGTATTCTTCTTACCCCAACGCTGCAATAGTGCGAACCCTAGAGAGCCGATGAGGAGGTCTCCGACACCGATATTCTGGGTACTTGCGCCAGGTTCAACGGATCTAAATTCACGTCGAATCAGCGTGATAATAGCTGCAATGGCCCTCGAAGACTCGGTGGATCCAAGGATGGCATCCAAAGTAGACAGAAGTGCCTGCGAGAGATTTGCAACCGAAGACAATGTGGTCGACGAGAAATGAAATGTCGCTGCAGCGAAGAAAGATGCCGAGGTCACGGTCGTGTGGAGCGTCGCCAACTAGGGGGTGTTAATCGAGACTAAGTCGACAGACCTGCAGGGTTCAGGAACATACACTTCGCTCAAGTAGAGACTCCGCTTCTATCCTACCATGTTCATCACCACTACGAATCGCAACGTCTCGTCCTGCTCTCGTCAAGATCCCCTCGACCAAAGCACGACTTAGTTCCAAGCTGGTCAAAGTCGTGGCTCGCGCACCATCCAGGGCTGCCCCGCCGAAGAATGTACCTAGCCGCAAAGAAAGCGAGCTTGACTGGGTAATCAAAGATATTAATGACGCGATTGGTCGTGGGAGAAGAGTCGATCCTGAGGCTGGGATGTGAGGGTGTGCATGGTCGAGATTCATCTCGATATCAGGTTTTCCGGGGTCATTGGACTTTTCAAACATTTTTAAACATATCAAGAATTTGAATACATATATGTATCCAAGTCATAAAGATTTTACATTTACAGTCCAAGTGTTGTGTACGGAGTAGATGTCAGCCAGTTGATACCCCAACTATTGAAGATCGGCCTTTCACATGTGATCGACTCCCAACATTTTCTATACACGCATGTTCCCCTGTTCCTCTCTCTACCCTCTACATCATCGCTTTCACGTCACCTCCGTACCATTGCGAACTTAATTCCTATCGCAATATTTCACCCTCCGGATCCCCGATAGGCCCATGTTTTGCCACAAATTGGCCGAAAGACCCTAGAGAACCTGTCTAGCCCCGTCTCGGCCCTGAATGCTCAATCCGTAAATCACCGGTCGACCAACGAGAACTGCTTTGGCTCCCAAACACGGTGCCTTAATCACATCCGAACCTGTCCGATTCAGAGTCGAAAAGTACCCGTCATCTTGTCCCCGAGTGCATCGACTGTCTCCGGAAGAACGTCCAGGAACCCGATAGCGCCATCCACTTTGCACAAATATCCTGTTTAATAAAGTGTCCTTGCGTAATACGTAGGAAGTGAAGTGAATTATAGCTTTTAAGGCATCCATACTTTATCCAGTAGCATAACTACTCCGAGTTCTAAGTCGCTCACCATATCTCCAAAGAACAATAGGTACCGGGAAGCCCATGACAACAGCAACGAGAGCAAGTATCGTAGTCCCCCATCCATAACCCAACGACTGATACATCCTTGGACCGAAAAGAGGAAATCCAAACCCCGTTAATCCACGAAGAATGTAAACAGCACCCGTCGCACTAGCCGCATACAAAGTAAAAGCCTCATACAAATATGCACTAGTACACTGGAATAGAATCATCGCCGCGCCGGCGAACAGCCCAATGCCAAGATCGGGCACAATCCAATGTGTGACGGCCTGCGCCCCCCATC